TGGTTTTGCATTTCACTTCTTTTTTATGTAATAAAGATAATGTGTATATATTCATCACAGCAGTATTTTCCAAATTGAAAACAATGATTCAATATTTTAATGTAGCAGATAGTGACCAAAGCTTTTTAAAAAATAAAACAGCTTAGAAAATACTAGAATCCATTGCACTCTGGGTATTTTCTCATAAAACATTTGTCGATGTGTGTGCTCACATATGCATATATGCATGGAAGGGTAGAAAGAACAGTAAGCAGATAGATAATGTCATTTTGGTGATTGATCACAGTGCTTCCCAAACTTGATGAAATGTACCATGAACATTGCTGTTTGCAGTGTTCACTTGTGACTTGAGCTACATGATGCAATTTAAAACCATGAGCAATCAAAAGTCTATCACAAATTGGCAGCAACAGCATATCCCAGTGCCTTCATTGAGAATTTGATATTAAAGCTGGATTAGGGTATTATCTCCCCCAGGAGCAGAAAGTATGGCATGAAAGGGAAAGACTCTGGCCTGACCCCACCAGCTGATGCAGGCCCTCTAAGGTATGTTCTTGAAAGAGCATGGGTGCTGGCATAGGCGGATGGCAAGAGGGGATGTGACTGTGGACACCCCACCTCCACCCCCAGGAGGCTGTCCTGATGTCTGAGGATCCTGGAACACAACTTCCCTGAACATCCCAATGGTGTCACTGACCTGGCATCACATATCAAGGACATTCATTGAGTGGCTTTGGGATGCAAAGCTCTTTGCCAGGTTCCTCCAGGACACAGAACATGCCTTTACCTAAGACATTACCCCAAAATATCAGCTCAGACTAATTTCCTTATTCCGCAGCAGTTCAGAGGGCGGTTCCACAGCCGCTGCACTGACCAGGAGAGGTGCTTCCACAAAGGGTGATCCTCGCAGGCCACACATCCACCAATGCACAAATCTGTGCACCAGGCTTCTAGTGTGTGTGTGTGTGTGTGTGTGTGTGTGTGTGTGTGTGTATATATATATATATATATAGTATTATATATAGTTTTAAAAGAACATATGTAGCATATATTCTACTTATATATACTTCCACATAAGAATGGTCTATATTCCAGTGCCAGTAGATATCCATTATTTTCTGTAGAAATAGATGAGGCAGGATAAGGGGCAGGTAGGTAATAGGTAGATAGATGAGTAGTTATCTGATTATGTGTATGAAGTGTATATGTTACATAATTGAAATATACTGCACACATAAGTTTTTGTGCTTAATTTCATATATTTTCACATGATTAAAAGTTGCTGTGTCAATACTATTTTTCATAATTATGTGATTCTTAATAAGTAACAGAAATAGCATACCTGCAAGCAATACTAACCTGACCAACACCACTTGCTATGCTGCCTTTTTCTTCTCAGTGCTTATGTAAGTAAAAGGTAGTATTCTGCAGATGTTCCAACCAATAAATTTAATGCTTATCACTTTTCATTCTCTGTGCCACAATGTTCACATTTATACCTTTGGAAAATTAGCTGCTATAAAACCAGACATAACTAAGTGCAGAATTCCCTAACAGTTCGTAAGTAGTCAGTCATGAACCTCTTCAAGTGACTAGGTCAGCCTGAAACCTAGTCAGTTGAAGAGGCTTTTACTGCCACCCCCTTCTAGGACTTGGGAACATATGGACAGGCCGCTCTGCAGTTCCAGTGCCTCTCTGGATCCTGGTGGCCTTAACCTCAACAACATCTGGCAACTGTTGATTCCGGGTCATAGTTCTCAGCTGGAGGTGATTTTGACCCCAGGAGACATTTAGTAACACCTAAGGCCTTCTTGGTTATCAAAACTGGGGAAGGAACTACTACTGGCATCTAGGAGGTAGGAGCCAGGGATTCTGCTAAATATTCTACCATGCATGGGATAGTCCTTACTCCAAAGAGTTATCAGGTCCCAAATACCAGTCGTGCTGAGATTGAGAAAGCCTGAGCCGAGGATCCTGTATGGCTGGCCCAGGGCAGGAGGTAGGAAATTAGACCTAGATGCATGCAGCTTGGGCGTCTGAGCATCCATCCTGGGCCCTGCTCTAGGAACCTCAATGACTTTGACTCTGGAGACATGGCCTCTACTAGCAAAGTATAAGAGATAATGAAAAGACAAAAATCAATGGAATTTGTAGGATTTCCTTGACTGTGCCAGGCTTGCCTCTTTGGTTTTGTATTCGCTCTGGATGTCTTCGGTGGAGAAAGCATGGGATACTCCTGGCACAGTGTGAGGAGAGCCCTTGTCTGAAAGCAAAGAAGCTGGGGAGATTCGAAGGTCCCATGTACCGCTGCCTTTGGGCTCATTCTATAACTAAGACCTTGCTTTGAGGCCCTTATGAGGACTTTATACCTCTCTCCATCCTGCCCCAAAATGCTGTCTGGCAAGATTTGAGTTTAATTTTCCCAGTTACTAGTTGAGCCAAGATTATTGGAGGAAGGCATTCAGCATATTGATTTTTTTGTCCATTAGGTAAAGGGACATTTATTTCTAACAGGAAATGGCTGTGTTAACTACTGTAATGGCTTCCTCCACCATTGGGAATGTTGCTATTATTAGAGACCACTAATTATGGCCTGAGCCTGGTATAGCATAAGAAAGATATAAAATGTTACTGTAATTGAGTGGAGGATGTGAAATTGCATAGTCTTATGGTCCCTGTGGGCATCTGTCTTGGAAGTTCTTGTGGTGAGGTCAAGTCATGGTGGTTCAGAGAAACTGAGACTTGGTACAGCCATGAAGAATCTCACACAAGAACCACACTGCCTGAGCTCCACAAAGCTCCCACAATTACAGTCTTATGGACTGTCGGCATGGTACTTACATGCATGCACACATGTAATTACATGCATACACACATGAAACTACATACATGCATGTTCTACTTACACACGTGCACACGCAGTACTTACACATGTGCACAGACAGTACTTACAAACTGCTATGCAGCTCAGTTTCCTCACCCATAAATGGGCATCAGAATAATCTCTAAAGGCTTGGTGTGAAGAGTGCATAACATGGATATGTGTGAAGCACTCAGAAAAGAACCACTCAATCACTGTGAGCCCTAGTTTGATTTTGTTGCTATGTCTGGCTCTCTGATAACAGGGACTTAAAAAAAGATACCTTTTAAGTTAAAAATGAAAAGATAACCATACTTCACCTGATTTAATTTTGGTTTTACACACGTACGCACTAAACGCAAGGTGTCAGTACAACTGGTGGTTGTCAGTCTTTCTAAGAGTTAAACAGTTGCCAAAAGAAACCTGACTTGAATATAGAATAAAGTGGTGGAAGCAAAACTGATCTTCGTATCTCTGACTCAGCAGATAAAAAGCCAAGAAACTTCCTAGTCTTTCTCACAAACTTCCAGTAAGAACAGCTGTTCTTTAATTTATACTTTAATTCAGCAGCACTTCATTTCACCTAAATTCACTAAATCCCAGAGAGATCTGGACACATAAATGATTTTGGAAATGTTATGGATTCTAAATAGGGCATTCTGGAAAATAAAGATGCAGTCTAATAATTTGCAGTTAACTCTGGCATTCCAATGAAGAAAAGACAGTGAGTTTTAATCAAATAATGAAATTTTTCTTAGATAATAATAAAATGAGTTAGTTAAAAGAGCTAGCCTATAATAGGTTTATTAAATTAAGCAATAAAGTTTCATTTTTTTAAACTACCTATTGTCAAAATATTCACAGCTAATTTCATTTACAATGAAATTAAATGAAGGAACTATTTCTTCAAAGTTAGACATGGATTTTTTTTCTTTTTTGGTGGATCTGGCTATGATCCGACCTCCAAATCCTGGTTTAATTATGGGTTCTTTGCTACCTCTGATTTTATAGTTGTCATTTTGTGACTGGCATTTAGACCTTCACAGTAATTTTCAAAATATGTAATTTTACGTAAGAATCCCTCAAAGTGACCTTAAGATGAGAGTGTCTAGACATAATTATGGAGAGGAAGGAACTACCAACCTCAAGAGCCGATGGTTTCCAGGGCCATCTTGTTTTCAAATATTAACCTCTGTGACAGCATTTCGTTTTTCTGCAAGCCTGAGACATGTAGGAGGGGCACCTGCAAGGTTTACCACAGGGGCAGCACTTTCTAGTGTATATTTGGGAATACTGGGGACCAAATATGATTAACCACGGGGTTCTACCTGGGTGCCTGAACCCTTAGTGTGCCTTTTCCACCATCCTCTGCATTTTCTGAGAACTTCTATTTTTGTGTCTCAGGTTCATTTGTCAAAAAGAACGTGAATATTTGTGTATTATCCTTTTTGTATAGGCTCAAAAATGGGTTGCCAGTCAGGTCTACTACCCAAAGAAGCATGGGTAAGGCCTGAGTTTTCACAAAGTAAAATTTAATTCAGTGATATTCATTACAAGTCACATCTTTCTAACTTTAAAATAGCAAGTTGTCTTCCCAAAGCTCTGCATCCTAAGGACAATCTTTCTCAGTAGCATTGCTTTCACAGTAAATTATGTATTAAATTATATAAGCCAGATATTTCCTCACAATGTTAGCATGTTTCTACACTAACCTCTGTCTCTTTGTCTGTAAAATAAGTGTCACAACCACAACATAGCTAAGGGCTTCTTGGTATCTAGGATCCCTTAAGTCTAACACTCAGCCAATTTAATTATTGAGAATATCTTGCTGGATTTCCAAATACTTATGCGATGTTTCCAATGACACAACCCTGCCTTGCCAAAGGATCCTCTCTTGGGCCCATTACAAACTATAATTCCCCAAACCCTCCACCTCTCCATGGACGTGGTGGCCCAGAGAGAATGGGCCACCATGTCCATGCAGAGAGAATGACCCCCCCTTCGCCCCATGGGGACAGGAATTCAGCTGTTAGAGGTTCATTCGCCACCTTACCAAGTGCATCTGTGTTTAGCCACGTGAGAATGTAGATATTAACCTGCTTTCTTCCCTCCACCCTCCTCATGTCCATCTCCCCAACAGAAAGGAGAACCTGACTGCCGGGCCCTTTCCCCGGAAACCACGGATCAGCTCACCTTTGAGATCCCCCTGAATGACTCTGGCTCCGCTGGCCTGGGAGTGAGCTTGAAAGGGAACAAATCGCGAGAAACTGGAACAGACATGGGGATTTTTATCAAATCTGTAATCCATGGAGGCGCTGCTTTTAAGGTGGGTAAGAATGAGCTTTCCCCGTCAGTAGGGAGGTACTCAGAGCTGCAGCTTTGGGGCCTGCATTCTGGATGGAGAAAGTGTGTGAAGGGGAGACCAATGGGCCTTCATGACGCACTCAGAAATGTGTGTGGACTCATCTGGGCAGCAGGGGTCTCTCCTCAAACTTTAAGTGGTTAATGTCATTTCCTAGAGATGGTTCTGCAAACCCTCCATGATTAATATGCTCTCTTGCATTCTTTTTATTACTCTGTGTGAATGACTCTGGATGTGTGAGCTGACAGACTTGAACCTAAAAATACATCATCAGAAAAACAGAACGAAAAAAAATAAGTCAACGTCAAGGCAGCAAATAAGAAAACTGCGCTTGCAAGAAAGAAAGCTCAGTGGAGCTTGTGAGTGATTGTAGTGGAAGCTGAAGGCCATTTATCACATTTTATGCACTTGGAGATAACCATGGTGCTGGGAAGGCAGATTTGCCTTTGAACTTGGAGAAGCTCATACATTCCTCTCCCCCCCCCCCAAAAAAAAAGGTGGTGGTGGGGGGAGTATGTGATTCTGCCCTTTCCCTTTGGATGGGGAGTGTGATCATAGCTGTGAGCATTGAATCAGGTATAGTTATTAGACGACCTGTGTTCAGTTCCAACCCACCACCTGCTAGCAAGGAACTTGACCTGCCATGTTCCCATTTCCTCACCTGTAGAATGGGGATAATAAGTAACACATAATCCAGGGGTTTCTCAGGATTAAATAAAGAGATACAGACCATGTGATTAAAGCAGTAAAGTGATCACAGAGGGAATCATGCTTGAGCTCGCTTCAGCTCCTGCTGGACAGTGAGACCTCCTGAGTTTGCGTGCGGCCTCAGCTACTCGCTCACTCTGTGTTTGTAGGCAGGTCACTTGTCCTTACTATGCCTGAGTTTCCTCATTTGTAAAAAGAGTAAAATTAGTAGCGCCTACCTTTTGGTGCTCTTGCGAAGACAAAAAAGAGCAATATGTATAAAGTGCCTAGCACAGTGCCTATGATAAGCCTCCAATAAATGTTAGCATTTTTTAATAATTTTCATATTAATAATGCATGCCACCTCCCCCACAAAACCCAAGCAGAACTAGTTAGGTTTATAGGAACAGTCTGCTCCTAGAATCCTGGTTTTGTGGGAATATATATATATATATATATATATATATATATATATATATATATTGATTTCAGAGAGGAAGGGAGAGGGAGAGAGAGATAGAAGCATCAATGATGAGAGAGAACTGTTGATCAGTTGCCTCCTACATGCCCCTCACTGAGGATCAAGCCCACAACCCAGACATGTGCCCTTGACTGTAATAGCACCCAAGACCCTTCAGTCCGCAGGCCAACACTCTTATCCACGGAGCCAAACCAGTGAGGGCCATTTTTCTTCTTCACCCTACCATATCACTTTTGTTTCTTAGGCATGGGAAACAGTGTCTCTTTTCAGTCTTTTTCCTTGGTAATAAGAATTGCATTGTGGAGAGACAATTCTTTAATGCACTCCTTGGATCCATCAGCTTTTGTTGTATAATAAGTGACATAACCATCAGCTTTTGTTGTATAATAAGTGACAAAATGTTAATAACATACATTGGTAAACCTTTATTTCCTTCATGACCTTCATGACTGCAGGGCAGCCAGAGGGGTTCAGATTCAGGACAGCATCTATCACACTGTAGGTTGACAAGTCTGACTGTGGTCCCCACATCCCTGGTGTCCTGAGCCAGCAAACTAGCTATAGCATGTTCCTAATCCATGAGCTGTCAGAGGGACCACAGCATTGAGTGAAGTCTCATAAGTTCTGGGATCCAAACTGGCTCACAGTAACTACACACACACACACACACACACACACACACACACACACACACACACACGGGCACACACACACACCATTGGCCTAAATAAGTAATACGATGGAATCCAAAGTCAATCCAAGGTGTGAGGAAATACATTTCACTCATGATGAAGCCATAGCAAAATGTGGGTGCAGAAAAGGATGGAGATTTGAGGCCCATCATACAATCTACCAACAATCTAGCTCCAAAATGCAGAGCCAGGAGCAGGAGGGAAAAAATAGTAATGATAACAACAACAACAAATAACATTCACTGCATGAAAAGTATCTCTCCAGCTTTTCTCATTTTGCTCTGGACGTTCACACTGGATTATGAATGCAGTGGTTAGTGCCCCTCCACAGTGTGCCTGTGGTCACATAGCCAGGACTTGCTCAACCTAAGAGTTGAACACAGGCAGTCTGCCTTCAGACCCTGTGCTATGCTGCCTTGAGATGCAGACTCTTTATCTGATCTGTTTATCTTCCTAGAGATCAGGGCCTGTCACCTTGGAACTATCTTGTATCAGGCTTGTCATTCTGAGCCAAGCCACCTAAGCATATGCTTGCTGTGTTTGAGGGTGAGACTTGCTTATTTTGGTGGACATCAGCTTGATATTACTCTTCTTATTCCTGATGACAGTTCTATTTGCAGAATTTATTCCAAGTAAAATTGAAACTGAAATGAATTTTGGGAAATTAAAAGCAAACATCTTAGCTTTCTTTATGGGCAATAACTTACTTGCAAGCGGCTACTGGAGCGCTGGTTGAATATGGATATCCATGTTTGTGAAAGTGAGCATCTCCTTACCTAAGCAGTTTCTAACGGGCCTGTTTCTTGCAGGAGGATTTCACTTTCCATTTATGTAAATTTCTTTCCTGATGCTGGTCTGCTGAGTCAGACGATCACACCATTAAAGCCCGCTGGACAGCATGTTTATAGCTGATCTTAGGGAGCAAAAAGCATCAATCACGGGTTTAGCCTTATTGTGACAGTTTGGTATCCATTCGTCTTGTTTACTTAGTGCAGTGAAAAGGCTAGAGGCCTTAAGCATTGCTCATAAGAAATCTGATTCACTAGGGAAAACAGAAAGAATATGTCACTCTTCTCCTTCTGCTGTTCCAATCATCTACCATTACTCCTCGGAAAATTGCCGCCTACTCTGTGATTCAGGATTATGTTTTACAAAAATTGTTTGGAGACTTTGTTCCTGTCCCTGTTCAGAAGACACCAATGTAACAGACTGCAGGTCCCTGGGGCTATGGGGAGATAAGCTTGGGGAGCCTGGGCTTTAGCATCTGGCCCCAGGATTTTACCTGAAACCAACAGAATCATCTTTCCGCCGGAGCACAGTCTTTCTTCCAGCCCTTCAGACCACTAATTGGTTCTCAAGGTGTTGTTTCCCTTTTGGGAAGGTGGGTTTTTGAAAACTAAACTACTTTGATAAGTCTGACCAAATTCTTCCTGTGGATTCTGTGCGCTGTGTTCTCCCCGGGGCTTCGGTTGGTGTAAACAAAGATAGCCTACTTCTTGCCAGATGTAAAACCCTGAAATGACTAGGACTCCACTAGGAGGCTTCTGTGTTTTCCCCTTACCTTTCAGGCTACTGCTTTCTATCATTTCAATTCTTATTTGAGTCATTTCCAGCAGAGAAGTAAAGCTCTCTTTGAAAGTAAGAGCATCCAGCTAGCTGAGAAGTGAAACCCTCACTCACTCTATGGGAAAACAAAGTAATCACTTTACTTATTCAGAATTGCCCAAATGCTTAAATATTTAAATTTCACTCAAGAACCCCGGAAACTCTTCCCTGTTCCTGTTAGGACACAGCATCTGCCATTTCAGACTGCTTTGCATCTACAGTTGTCTGTGGCTCCTCCAAGGCATTGCTTTGAGCATCCTTAGCAATGTGCAAAGTGACCTTGGACCATAACAGCCAAATACAACTAGAAGTATTGATCCTAATATGCTTAAACTATAACATATGTTGCTGTATGTCTATAGTTTCTTTTCAGTTTCTGTCATTTGTCTTGGGCATTTGCTCCTGAAGTACAGGGCAATTATTTGTAGAATCAGCATATTCTAGATACAAGCATGCTAGTAGGTGTTAATTTCTCATGACCCAGGCACTAGGAGTGGAATATGTCAGTATGCCATGAGGATACTTTTCCAAGATTCCACTTTTGGGATTGGAATTGAAAGTTAATGTGGTGTTGTTGTTACTGTTAGGTGAAAAGAAACGCCTTCGTTGCATTTAGAAAAAAAAAAAAAAAAAAAAAAAAAACACCTTGAGAAAGCTATTCTTTTTCCAAAATTCACACAAAAATCAGCTTTTCCTTTTTTCCCACAAAACCTTGATTATCAGGTTGAAGACCTTACATGTTTTCACTTATTTGGTAAACATTTTTGAATTCTGAAATCAGTGGCTTGTTTAGTTTGTGTTTTTTTTTTTTTGCTTTGCTTTTGACGTACTATGTCAGTTAAACCTTTTTTTGTCTTTTGGAGAAAATACATTTTTACATCTATTGATTATACTAACTTAAACTACTTGTTTTGTTATGTTTTTGTCTTTGTTTTTTTTGTGTGTGTTTTTTTTTACCTAACAATGAATCATTTTTAGAAAAATATCACTAGGATAGTGATATTTTGAAGATTTAGATTAACATATAGTAAAAAACAAAATCTCACAGTCTAATTTTTTTTTTATTTGAATATACTGACTTTGGGAATGAAAAGTGTCCTATGGAAACCTTGAAATAATAAGGTAAAATTAAAATTTAAAGACAATTTTTGCTAAGGGAAAGATGTCATGTACCAGGTATATTAAGGGCTTTTAAATAGAAAGAATGAATTTAAGAATACCTGTTATTCTCTTGAAAATTAATTAGCGAGGTTTGTGCTTAATAAATACTACTTGATGATGATGAAATTAAATGAAGGAAAAATGCCTGACATAGCTAATTGCAAATGCATGCACTCAGAATATGAAATAGATATAATTTAAATGATTTGATTTTGGTGTGCTTAGGAAATTCGATGCAGAATTTTTATAATCTACACTGTTTAGTAATTGGTAGAAGAAAAAGTGTCATCTAATACAAGCAATCCTCCTATTTTTAAAATGACTGAACTACAAATTTT